GTGAAGAGGATCATGAGGATAAAAGGAGCACCACAGTCAGTTCTTTCTTGCAGATAATACAAGATCCAAGCTGGTTTTATTTTTTTAATTTATTTTTAGAAAAAGAGCCATTTAAGTTGTCAGTCCTTTAACACAAATTTCATCTGACTATGCCAAGCAGCCATCAGGGTTAAAACCTAATACAGCTCCAAGTTCTTCCCACTGTACTTGCAACAAATAACTCTCTCACATCCCAGGGATGCGGCTACTCTGAGCCAGCACAATTCACAGTCAGTCAGGGTTTGATTTTGCAAATCCTTCTCTAACCAAAGCTTTCACACACAATGAGTCCTTTGACCTCACTGGGCTTGATGACGTGTGTCCTAGCAATTTTTGATGCCTCAGCCCCTGACCAGCCAAAAGCATGGGAAAGCAAATGCTGCCCTCAAGGGCATTTCTGCATAGGAAGACCAAGGGACCTTGAATACTACAAGAGGGTCACAATTTTAGCGCTGTGAATGAAGTCTCTGTCAACCATCAGCAAAGAGCACTCTGGCACCTCAGGGCTTTGCCATCGTCAGTATAAAATTAACAACATCGTCAGACAGATAGTGTATATTTGTCCCTTTCCGTTCCATTTTTTCCCCCTCTGAGTCCTCACTGAGATTCATTAAAGCAATGTTAAACCAGGGGTGTTAGTTTGCAAGGCTGAAATAAGGTATTTGCTGTAACCTTGGCTGCTGGGCTGAAAGACACTGTGAGCATATTGTCAGAGAAATACTGCATGGGCAGTGGAAATTATGATTTTTCCTCTAAGAGCCTGTGGAAGCTGTTCTTTGTTTACATGAGGACTTCTGGAAAGTATGTGTCTTTAATGAGCAGATCCCTGGTAATAAATCAGATTGGGATCTCCACATTTCACAGCTCCATGGGCAGCCTGTCTGCTGTATGACTGATGCTTGAGAAAAGGGAAAGCTGGGGGCTGCCCGTGGGTACATTCCCACTGACTCCTGACTGGAATCTGAGGAGATTTAGGACCTGAGGACATGAGTGCATTGGGGGTGTATTCAGGGAACACATTTTGGAAACCAAATATTCTTGACAGCCAGGGATGATTCAGACCAGACTATCTCTGTCTGCCAGCTGGGGTGAAGCTAATACCAACCATGAACACCTGAAAAGGCAGTCATAATGTATTTCCACAGGCTTGTATCCACACCTGCTTGGAACATCAGGTTGGACTGGCGCCTCCTGGGGCTCGGTGCAGCCCAAATTCTCCTATAATACTGAGAGAGGTGAGACCCTCAAGCTGAATTTGTCCCCTCCCCACAGCTGGATTTAGGCATGTCCTGAAGACACCAGAAAGGGTGTCATCCAATATCAGCCTTATACAGTGAGGCAGCCAAACTACACAGGAGCTTATTGCTGCTGGTGGCTAGAGAAAGGCGTGAGATGACAGCTCTTCACAGCCCCCAAGGGAGTTTAGGTCCTGTACTGTATATCTGCCTCGTACAGACATGAAGGCAGATCCCTTCTGTGCTCCTCAGGCTGCTGAGTCCATGGATGTGGGCTCCTGAAGGATCAGAACATGTGTGGGCATCATCGGATGTTTCATTTAGGCTACCTTTTTGATACACCTCTGCTTAAGTATCTTCAAAACAGGATGTGGTTATTTTGCAAAATATTCCTTCTGATATGTCTCATTTTCCTACAAAAAACACAAGTGTTTTTCAGCAAAAGATACTCTGCAGCTCCACAAGTTCATTGCTGGTGGTTAAAGAGCTCTCTGTATTGTCATCATCAATTGCAAACGTGTTATTCACTTTTAAATCAAAGGTTTCTCTGAATTTCCCCATGGCTTTTCAAAGGAGCAGAACACCAGGGATACACTTCTGGTGAACTGTCCTGACAGGGCAACTGATGGTTAAACAAACAGGACTTCCCAGAGTGACCTTTGCAGAGGAAAAAGTCCTTGTCCCACCATTTCTTCAGCAGAGCTGCCTAGCAGAAAAAAACCCAGCATGCTTTGGAGCACTTGGAGCTTTGCAGCCTTGAGCAAAATGCTATATTTACAACCACTTTATTGTCATCTGAATCTCTGCAATACAATTGTTTGATGCTCAGACATGTCATTGACCTGGCAATTTATTACTTTGTAGTCAGTAGAAAGTAATGGGTGGTTCTCAGCGAAGGGAACTGGCTGCTTTATCTGGCAGCTGATAAAGCCAGATTTTGCAATTAGTTCAGAGTTAACTCTTTTTATTACCCAAAACCCTCTGCTTCTTAACCTCTTCTCAGGTGAGGAGCAGGCTGTTGCTCGGTGAGACAATCACAAATTAACCTTTAATTTGCTCAGATCTCACCAAGGCACAATGTGCCTAGATGTCACCAAGAATTCATGAGAAATGAATAGGAGTGTCAGTGAGAGCATGTGTGCCCCAAGCTGGGTCACCCAACCTGGAACTGGAAAGGAATACCTGGAAATCACAGAACCATGCAATGGTAGAACGGTTTGGGTTGGAAGGGACCATCTAGTTCTAATCCCCCAGCCATGGGCAGGGTTGCCACTCACTAGATCAGGTTGACCAGGATCCCCTCCAGCTTGACCTTGAACCCTTTGGGCAGCCACAAGCTCTCTGGGCAACCTGTGCCAGTGCCTCACCACCCTCACACTAAAGAATTTCCTCTTAATACCTAATCTAAATCTCCCCTCTTCCAGTTTAAAATCATTCCCCTTTTTCCTACAACATTCTGGACATGTGAAAGCCACTCCCCATCTTTCATATAAGCTCCCCTTAGGTTCTGGAAGGTTCTTCCCTGAGCCTTCTCTTCTCCAGGCTAAATAACCTCAACCCCCTTAGCCTGTCCCCACAGGACATGAGTCCCTCACCCCATCAAGCCCCAGTGTGCCACAGTTCATGTTTTAAAGCCTATCTCTTTGCTCTTATCACATGCAGTAGGACACTTTGGTGACCTGTCATCTAAATCCCACTCGGCATCTTGGCAATTGAGGTCACAAAGGCAAGGGCTGAAGGTTACAAAGGTTAACCTAGGCTGTCTTAACAGAGTTCAAGGCACGCAAATGACATGAAACACCAGACCAGCTGAGTTGGAACAGGTTTGCAACATGAGCATTTCTGTGTTACCCAGCTGATATAGCTGACACAGCAAGATGTTGGGTGCACCAGCTTCTCTAAGGCTAAAGTGAGAACAGCAAACTTTGAGAAAAAGTGTTTTGCATTTAATCAGATTGTACAAATTAGACTACTTTCTACCTGTGGGCACCTCAAGGGTAGAGGTGAAATTAATGAAGGGAAAAAAGTGCTTATTTCCCAGAGATAGGAAATGGTACATGGAGAGGAAAGCTGAGATTGTACTGGCAAGCCAGTTTAAAAATGCTTGTTGGACTGGTAGAGTAGCTGGTGTTGCATAAAGTAGCATGATTGTACAAGACATATTTTCAATGGAAATCTCAAGAGTAAATCTTGCTTACTCATTAATTTATTTCTGTCATAAAAGACTTGTTTGCCAGAGAACTGAGGGTGTGACACCAGCATTTTCTTATCATAGAGTTTTATAAACTAGTCAAAATATTTTGTACATCTCTGCACCTCTGGTTTTTTTTTTCCTTCCCTCATGACTACCCAGGTATTTGCATGAACTTTATTCTTCTCTTACATAAGTACTTTGCAAGCGTTTAAAAACTCACTGATAGTAAAACTTTATCTTGGCAAAGTAAGCACAGCAGTGATTTCACATTCTGCTTTTATCAGCTGACTTCAGTCTAGAAACTTCACAGCCCGGGGTTAATCGTACATCTCATGAACTCCATAATCTACAGGCAATAGGTCAGGAAAGTTCACAACCATTTTTATCAATGTGGGTAAACGCAAAGTTCACTACTGGAAAAAAAAAGCAGTGCTGAGCTGGAGCAGATACAATAAAACAAGGCTCCTGAAACAGGTTCCTTCAGGACTGTTTGGCTACAGAGGGGGATGGAAAGGGTAGGAAGCATTTTCACACCAGCTCTTCTGATTTTACCCAGTGTCTAATGAGCCTGTAGGTTTCACAGCCACAGGAATCACTCAAGGATAACTATTACATGGGTAAAGACTGGCAGGGTTCAAAGTAGTATTAAGCATTTTAAGGGGAATGAGAAATGACAGAACTACAAGATTTTAATAGGGCAAAATTAAAAGATACTGGAATAGTTTCAAAGTGAAAGATGAGAGATTTAGATTATATATTAGGAACAAATTATTTACCATAAGGGTGGTGAGGCACCAAACCATTCTATGATTTTACAAAAGTGTGAGTCATCAGAGGTGTGCAGAAAAAAAAATGAGATGGCCAAATTTTCATAAGCATCATAGATGTTGATACATTTTGGGCACCAGTAGCAGCCTCTGTGCTGAAGGATCTGTTCTCTGGGTAGACTGTTCTGTTTTTACACTCCAACTGAGATCTTCAGAACTGCCAAAAAGAGTGAGGAGAATCTTTACCTGTGTCTATTGATTCATGCAGATTTCACTAGTCTCCAAGATGTGAAGGTCCTGACCTGTCCTTGCTACCTTGAAGGTGTTTACAACTTGCCCTTAACCCCAATAATGGTATTTAAGAGGAAACCCCAGGGAGGATCTGTGCTATCTGCATTGATTTCCATGACTGCAGTGGACCACACATCATCTTTGGGAGATGGGGCTGAATTCCCAGCCCTGCTACAAGTCTCATCCTGCCCGTGGGCATCTCATTTGCCACCAAGCCCTCCAGACATTTTCCATGCTACAAATAATAACACAGCTCCATGCTTGCAGATGCAGGCTGTCCTACTAGACCAAGTGATGTGTGAATTCCCAGTGCACCTGCAAAGATGTGTAATTACCCCTGAGTAATTTTTCCTGAGGGCATTCAGGGAAGGAAAGCATGGTCCCACCTAAAGTTTCCCTGCTTTTGGCAAATTCCCACATATTTCAAAGGGAGTAAAAAGAAATCAAAAGGAGAGAGTAATATTTGTTTAATGAATCTGCAGGAGTATATTTCTTTCTGAGAAACTTATTAAAAGTCCCTTCCTCATGGGTATGTGGCTGGTGAGTAGGTACTTTGTCAAGCCTGAAAGGAAAAAAAACCCAGATCGGAAGTCTGATCACATTAAAACCATATGTGCAGCATATGTCAGCAGTTACAGAGAGCTTTAGAAAAAATAACTACAAAACCTCGGCTTCTGACTTCAAAGGGGTTTTAAAAGAGCCAAAATGTTGATCACTAAATTTCTGCCCATTAGGGAAAAGTCATGAGGATTTGTGTGTGTGAGTATGTGCATGTGTGTGCCTGTGTGTGTCTGTCATTGTGAATGGTTTTGCTACAGAAAACTAACTAGAGGCTCCTACCATAACAAAAAATCCTACCAAAGCTGGCTTCTTCCCTGGGACACTACAAATCTCAGCACACACTGAGTCAGTTTTTTCACAAGCCAGGGCTCTGTTTTAAAGCCCAGTCCTGCCTCTGAAAAATGGCTTTGTTCAACAACAGCACCATGGGGCTCTCTGTTTCCTGCCTCCCCTGGTTTCAATATGACATACACATTGTTTGCTCTCACGAGGGTAATGGTCTTTCCATCAGCTGTTGAGACCAAAGACTCATTGTGGGTTGGAGGAGTTTACACAGGCACTTTCCCTTTTCATCTACAATCATCTCTCAAAACACTTCAGCGTGAAGGTTGGTGGTAACACCCCCTTCATGGCCTTGATCCTCTTCTTTACTGCTATGGAGTACCTTTAATGAGGGAAAAGTACCTTTTCCCTGCACAAACTGTAGTTGTACTGGGTCCCTGAAGAAACAGGGGTGAAATCCCTAAGCCAAATACTTGGAGACCTAAAGGCAGAGTGGGGGCAAACCCTCCTTAGCTCATGGCTTAGCTGTCAGCACATGCCAGCTGTGTGTGCCCTGCAGCTGCAGCCTTTGGAGGTAAGGGCAAGGGTTAACTCCTCCATGGAAGCCTGTGCATTGCTAAAGCAGACTTGACACTTCTCAGGCACCAAGCAGGAGAAGGTGCATGGGGAGATCCCAGCTCCCCCATCAGCTGCAAGCTTTCCCAGGGAGAAGAAGAACGCCCTTCCCAAGAGGGTTTGGGGATAGCAGAGACGTGAGAGCCATGGGAAGGCAGCAGCACAGAGGTGTTAACAGCCCTGCGGGATGCGGCTCATTGGAGAAACTGGTTCCACCGGGATGGTGCAATCCCCTTAGTTCACACATAACCCTTTTCCCTCCCACCATGAGGTTCCACTGGGGCAGTTGCACGTGTCTGTGAACTGGAAAATGGCAATTAGAGACTTCTTGTAAAAGAGCTGGTGAAAAATCAACGCAAGTACATAGAGCTTCTAGGAAGCAGGCTGCTGTGGGTATGTGGATTCTACATGACAGAGCTGTGGCAAAGGACACCTTTGGGAGGTCACACTGGACCAGACAGGATGGGAAGGCAACAGAAACTTGCCTCCCAAGCAGTCCCACTGAGATACTTGGCTAACCCCACATCCTGATCCTGCTGCTGTTCTGTTGAGTAGAAGATGGATACAATTCAAGATGGGGTTTCTTAGTCCTCTGTACTGGCAAAGGGGTGCAAGGAAAGGCGTCTTCTCTCTCAGGGGACAGGGGCTGGGAAAAGAGATTCTGTTCTTTCTCATGTGGCAGTTCTCCAGCAAGCCCCATGCACCATTCTCTCCCCAGTCAATGGCTGTCAAATATGAATCTCCCTGATGTCCCAGATAACTTCCCTCAATAGACACCTTTTAAATCCCTACACAGCACACACCACAGGAGAACCTCATTTGATCCTTGCTTCACCTAGCCCTCAGCTTTCCTCCTCTATAAAACTGACCTCCAGCACACAGACCTAAAATAACATGAATTTCTTCAGTCCAACTTAGGGACTGGGTGATTTAGTATTTTCTCTGCTGCTGTTTTCAAGGCTCTTGGGAAAGGCTTCAGGTTGATAAGCGACATAAAAATGTCCCTGACATTTGTCCCTCAAAAATATTTCTAAATTCAAGCTGGTGGGAGATCTGAAGTGCCAACACATTCAGCAAACTACATGATATTTTGTACAAGGATCCAGTTTCTTGGTCATCTGGAAACATTGACCTCATATTGATATTGCTTTGAAAATTAAGGATATATCAACCATTGAAAGCCACAGCAAAAAATTTTAAAGAAAATTTTTGAGTTCCCCTGTGACAAGAAAGATATTGAAGTGTTGAAGGGTGTCCAGAGAAGGGTAACAGAGCTGGGGAGGTATCTGGAGCACAGGTTTGATGAGAAAAAGCTGAGGGACCTGGGGGTCTTTAGCCTGGAGAATGGCAGGCTGAGGGGGACCTTATTGCTCTTGACAGCTGACTGAAAGGAGGGTGCAGCCAGGTGGGGGTTGTGGTACTTTTTCTAAGTGACAAGTGATAGAACAAGAGGAAATGGCCTCCAGTTGCACCAGGAGAGGTTTAGATTGGCTACTAGGAAAAAAGTCTTCCCCAAAAGGGTTTTCAAGCACCAGAGCTGTTGATGGAATCACCATGTCTGGAAGTGTAGATGCAGCATTTGGAGTGGTGGGCTTGGCAGAGCTGGGTTATTAGTTGGACTCATTGATTGTAGAGGGCCAGCTTGATTGATGACATGATTCTATGGTTCAAGATCTTGGTGAAGTTTCAAAGAATAGTTATCTTCTTTTCTCATTCCTGTTTTTGTAAGGAAAAGCTGTTTTGTGGTAACCTGATTCATGAGCTCAATGCACTTGGGAGCTGAACACACTTCAGTTTTGGATATGGTCTGCAAGATTGCAGAAAGAAATTCAAACCAGCCCAAGGAAAATTAGTTAAGAACAATGGTTGTGACTCATACGAATTCTAGAAAGTCATTTTGATTGTTTGGCCCAAAGGAATAAGAGCAGATAACACCATACAATCACTTCATGTATGGGACTGTAAACAGAGGGACAAAGGCTGTGCAGGTTTAGCTGCGGTGGATCGAGCAAGGAAGGGGAGATTAAATTTAGCTGGCTATTAGGAACAATTTCCTGAGAGTGAAGATAATTAGGCAGTGGAACTGTTTTGCCTAGTGAGGTAATTACTGCACAAACACTAGATGGACGCAAGCCAAGATTAGATAAGTATAGTGGAAAATGTAGTACAAGGTCTCTCCTGATGAGCCCAGAGGGGCTGCCTTTGCTGGCCATGTGCCCGGCCAAGCAGTCACAGCAAACTTTCCCTGAAGTGTTCTAGAGACAACAGGGCCTTTACTGGGACAGGGACTGCAGGAACAGAGCTGGCTCTTTCATCAGGGCAGAGAGCAACACAGAGCAATGCATCAACCCCACCTGCCATAAAAGCCCACAAAATGTCTGAGGAAGTTAGGAAATGGAAGTTGAAGCAAAAAAAAGAAATCTAAATTGTAACTTTTGTGAGGAAATATGAGCCTTTGCTAAGCTTCGTAAAGCCACTTTTTGTTTCATATGAGACTTGGATGTTTCTGCACTTGTTGGTTCATGTTGGATTTTTTCCCTTTTCACTAACAAATGTGGAGTGTTTGCTGAGTCTGGAGCTGGGACAGCTTCCAGAGAAAGGAGGCAGATTTTTGGAAGAGTCACAGGGTTGAGAGCAGAGCAGTTAAAATTCTGGACTCCTTTAGTATCTCTCAGAAGGAGGGAACATCTGAGTCCTCTCCAAAATGTACTTTCCTCAGCTATGACAGTATAGGGTATTAGGGTGTATTTAGGTTGTATTAGGGTGTATTAGACTGTATTAGGGTGAGGAGATGGGAGAAAAACCCTGTCCCACTGACAGACAAGGCTTCCTCTCAGCAGGAGATGGTACCCCACACATGGTGCTGTAGCATGGCTGAAGTGTGGAAGCAAAAGACAACATGGGTAAAGGAGCAAGGAAGTCATTTTGGGCTAAAGTAGAAGCACAGAGTGATGCTCTTGGGGTACCCATGGAATCCATCTAGGTACCACACTAGGTAATCTAACCCTGGGATTAAGCTCATTCTCACAGAATGAGAAGCCCCAGAAGGGCAACAGGCACTCTTCCCCTTCAACAGCCATTCACTTTTGGGAGCATTTCTGGACCATACCCTGATATAATCCAGTTAGAGGTTATCCCAGCTCAAAAACTGGCTCTGTAAGACAGAGGGGAGCATGAATGTATAGGACACCCACCTATCCACCCCAAAATACGGAAGCAGAGCAATGCTCAGTGTCAGCCCCGGGTTTTATCTGCCGGCTATTTACTTAACACAGTTAGTTGTCAGGTATTTCACACTGGAAATTAGGTCACTTAATCAAAATTCTGTGTTGTCTAGAGATGCTTAATAACAGTGTATTTTCCCACTATATTGGCAATAAACCCCTTGATTTATTTGCCTGCCTCATTAAATAGGTGTGACCCTTTTAAAGGAGGGGACAGAAGCAACTTTTTTTCCCACCACCATCACCACTATCATTTTTCAGTTTAGAGAAATTCCTCCTGAGCGGAAAGACCCAGAGCTGAGCAAACAGCATTAAGGATGAGTGGGCCAGGAGTGAGGGAACCCTGCATCATCGTACCTTCATCTGCTGTACAGTACCATTCCAAGATTTGCACATGGGTATTTTCAGCCTGTGGGCTGGAGCTCCAGCTGGGCAACCTTCAGGTTGGAATCTTAGAATCATTTAGGAAGGAAAAGACCTCCAAGACAATCAAGTTCAACCATTAAACAGCACTGCCAAACCCACCACTAAACCATGTCCCCAGCTACCACATCTACACGCATTTGAACACTTTTAGGGATGGTGACTCCCCTACTTCTCTGGGTAGCCTTTTGCAATATCTGACAACATCTTGGGGAGAATTTTTTTCCTGCTATCCAATATAAACTTCCCTGGTACAACTTGAAGCCACTTTGTCTGGTCTTGTCATTGTTACTTGGGAGAAGAGACCAAACTCCACCTGGCTACAACCTTCCTTCAGGCAGGTGAAGCTTACAGAAATTTAATCTCCCTCCCCCCCAGCAGCACTGGCTACAGCAGCAACAGCATGTTGACCATGTCTAATTCCAGAGGATGCTCTTTCCCACAGTCCTGACGCTCCATTACCCTCTACCTTCGAGCTCAGACAATGATGAAGGACTCCTGTCATCACCTATGGTGCAATCACACCAAAGTGCCTGGCATATCAAATTGCTCCTCCAAGCAGGATACAGCACTATTTAGAGCAGTTAGCACCAAGCATCTAATATGCACTGGGTTGCCCTCAGAATGCAATCCAGATTCAATTCTGCTGTCTCTTCTGTTCCTAACTAAGGCCTGTTCAGACATTTCAAGGATATTTTTACAGTGACCACAAATTCCTTTCCTGGCTAGTATCCCCTTTTGACCTTCTTCGTGCAAAGCAGATATTTCCCACTCCAGTGCATTAGTCCCAGATGATTCAGGGGCTGAATTAATTAATTTTGTCTGTGCTGGTGTTCTGTTGATGTACATCTCTTGAAACCGGTAATGTTACTCCTCTTTAAAGTGTTCAAACAAGTAAGGTTTATGTGACTCCTATGAAGTTAAATCAGGTTGAACACCCCAGTGTAAAGTACTAGGATAACTGGAGCTCAGCTCAAAACCTCTCATAACTGAACCTCATTTGCATGCCCTGGTACTTCCTTCCTGTGACTCTGCCATTCCAGATCTGGGGTACCCAGGAGAGGGATACATGAAAGGTCCAAAGGACCTCTCTAGTCACCCCTTTCCATGCATCCTTCATTTCTCCTGTGCCCTATCTCACCACACAACCCATCATCCTACAAGGAAGAAAGGGATCTGCATGACCTGAGATTGTTCTTTAATCATTACCTCACTAACTTGTGTTTTATTTCACTCATATGTCACCCATAATTTAAGTCTAGACCTAATAAACTCCTCTGGAACACGATGATACCACAGCCAGGCACAGTGTAGCAAAGTTCATGTGTGCTTGGAACCATTGCAAAATGTCCTGAAGCCACTTACATAAGAAAGTAAGAAGTGCCTGTTCATTGTGGTCATCGTTCGTCACCACTGTCTCAGCTCTTGCCAATTTACAACCCAGGGAGGCCAGAGCAGGCGGGTTGAGGCAGTTCATGATGTGAACTTTACCTAGGCAAATACAGGCTAGGATGAATAATTAACAGGAAGCTGCAATATCAAAGAGTCCTACGAAGGGTGGGAAGGGGCAGAGAGAATAAGGAGAGAATATCAGTCTTGTAAAAAAGCAGCATTTTTTCTGACTTTCACTCTAAGCCTGGACTCAACTGCTCTTCTCTGATCCAAGCAGAAGCTCTCTTGCAAGGATATAATTTGAGGAGAGACAGAAGGGGTGTTTTTTTGAGAAAAGCTTTGCAGGACATCCAGTGTGGTCAGCATATAGCCAGGTTTCTCCTGTGCAAAGAGGCACAAAAAGGAGGGGCAAAGATTCTCAAAACTGAATTAGGCGCCCAAGCTCACACTTACCAGCTGCTGGTGGGGCTGAATGCCTTCTTTATTCCCCTAGAGAGTTTTTCCCTGAGCTGAAGCTCATGTTGAGGTACAACCAGGAGGTGCCTGCTGAAGTCAGCTCTGAAAGGCTATTGGCATGAGAGAAATGCTCTCTGCTTAAGCCAAAACCACTAAGCTGAATATTTTCCTACTGTGTGCATTGTGCCTTTTCTCAGTTAACTCAGAGCCATGGTTGTGTCTCCAGCAGAAGTAGAGGTGTCTATTTACCGATTTAGAACAGCCTGGGCACCCCTGGTGAGGTGCTTGCTATGGTTTGGAGAGCCCCAAAACTTCCACAGGTGTCTATGACAGGATACTGCTGTAGTTGAAGGAGGCACCTACCCACTCAGAAGAAAAGTTTGGTTCTAAATAGTGCTGAGATGGACAGGACTTTGAGCAACCTGGTCTATTGGAATGTGTCCCTGGAAATGGAAGGGGTTTCAGGACTAAATGATCTTGAAAGTCCCTTCCAACTCAGGCCATTCTATGATTGTATGATTCTATGGTTCTATGACACGAGAGCTCACACACCAACCTACTGTCACCCGAACCATCCAAAGGTGATCATGTTTCCCATATTTGGCTTCAAGGCCTGTGTCCCAGGGTCTGAGAACAGGCAGGCTTTGACTTGGTGTCATTTGCAAATTTACTAATGAAGGAGTCAATTCCCTCATCCATGTCATCAGTAAAAATACTGAACAGAGCTGGCCCCAGCACAGACCCCTGAGGGACACCACTGGTGACTGCCCCCAGCTGGATGCAGCACCGTTCACCACCACTCTCTGAGCCCGGCCATCCAGTCAGTTCCTAACCCACACAGAGTGCTCCTGTCCAAGCCAAGAGGTGCCAGCTTTGACAGGAGTGTGCTGTGGGACACAGTGTCAAGGGCCTTGCTGAAGTCCAAATAGACAGCATCCACATCCTTTCCTGCATCCACCAGGTGGGTCACCTGGTCATAAAAGGAGGTCAGGTTGGTCAAACACGACCTACCCCTCCTAAATCCATTCTGGCTGAGTCTGATACCCTGGCCATCCTGTAGGGGCTGCATGATGACACTCAATATAAACTGCTGTATTACCTTACTGGGTACTGAGGTCAGGCTGTCTGGCCTGTAATTAGCTGGATCCTCCTTCCCACCCTTTCTGTGAACGGGCATCATGTTGGTCAGCTTCCAGTTATCTGGAACCTCACCAGTGAGCCAGAATTGTTGGTAAATTATGGAGAGTGGCTTCACAAGCTCATCTGCCAGCTCCTAATCACCCTGGGATGGATCTCATCTGGGCCCATAGATTTATAAACATCCAAGCCATCTTCCCACTAAAGACTGAGGCACAGAAGGTGTTAAGCACTTCTGCCTTCTCCTCATCTGCAGCTACTAAATTCCCTCACTCATCTCTTAGAGAATGGAGGTTGTTCTTGCCCTTTCTTTTGCCATTAATGTATTTATAAAAATATTTTTTATTGTTCTTTATGGAAGCGGCCAGATTGAGTTCTAACTGGGCTTTTGCCTATCTAATTTTTTCCTACATGACCTAGCAACTCCCTTAGGCATTTCCTGAGGTACCTGACCCTCCTTCCAAAGGTGATACACCTTGCCCATCCATGCTGGTCGTTTTCCTCGACAGCTCATCTTTCAGCACAAAGGGACAGTTCCTGTGCCTTCAAGTTTTCTGTTTTGAACCATGACCACCTTTCCTGGACTCCTTTAAGGGCTGCTTCCCAAGGTATTTTCCAAATAAGTTTCTTGAACAGGTCAAAGTCTGACTTCTAAAACTCCAGTGTGGAAGTTTTATTGGTGCCCCTCCTTGTTTCACCAAATATTAAAGACTCTATGATTTCATATATTGATGATGAAAAGTAAAAATCTACCAAAATACAGGAGGCAAGAGAGAACTCTGTGCTTTCTTTGCAATGTTTTACCAAAGAGGCATATTTAACCTATTTGTGCCCTTATTTCAGACAGAGACTGTGGGCTGGTAGCCCTACACCTGCTCTAGCATTTGGTGTTGTATGTTTTCAGCTTGGGTACTTGAATCTGTTTCACCACCCAAACAAGGCAGATTTCCTTTTGGAATGGAAGGGACCATCTATGGCTCTTCTCAGATTTAAGAACTTAATATTTACAAATGCTTTCCATACAGAAAAGCAAGATCCAGGTGTAAGAATTTTCCAGTGTTTGTCTTAACACTTCCACACATGGAGAGCTGTACAGATTACTGAAGGGTTTTGATCTTGTTTTGTTCAGAATCTGGGTAATGAAGTTAGAAGAAATAAAACCACAACTGTTTGTGCTCTGTCTCTTTTCCTCCCTCCCTGCCTTCATCCATCTACCTCTGTATCTACCTATCATTTGTGCTGTTCTTGCAGTAACTGAATTCTTTCCCATAAATTCAGTGGCAATGGAGATGTTCCCAGTGACTGTCCTAGAGTTTTTGGAAGAATTAATGGTATTAAAATCCCTCCTGTGGTCAGGTTCCGAGCTTGTTCATTAATTTTGTTAACTTCTTGATAGTTTTTTTTTTTTTCTATAATCAGCCTAAAGAGTGCATTCATATTTTACAGAAAATATATATGAATTCTTAGATTAATACAGATTCCAGGAGGATTTTATCTAAGATCCAAAAGCAAACTCCTTGCTGCTGGTCAGATGAAATTTTCTGGTGGGAAGTCTCCACACTTCTGTTTGAGAACCTCCCACTTCTCCCTTCAATTCTGTTTCCTGGGGAATTTCCACTGCTCTTTCTATTTCTTTCTGATCTGAATTTCTCAAATTTCAGTTTGGCAAACTAAACCCATTAACAAGAGAAAGAGTTTGCTGGGAATGGTATCAGTTTACACAGAGGTGCTAGGGTAAAAAACACACAATGTTTGAGTACAGGAAAGAACAAGGACTGGTGTATAAGAGGGGTCAGGGCAGGGTCTAGTAAGGAAAGAAGAACATCAGTTTGTTTTTCTTTCTCTCACTGAGAAATAGCACTTGGAGGAATCACTGAGAGGAGATGTGACCCAAAATGCATGTGCAGAGGGTTGCACCAAACTTGAAAAAAGAGATGAGGAGGCTCTGAGATGCCCAAATCCAGTAGAGATGGTCCCTGGCCAGGCTCTGTTGGTAACAAATGCTTGGCTCTGGAGGTCGGTTTTAGAGTAGGATCCAGCTCTCCCTAAGGGCAGCAAGAAGGGATGGGAACCAACAGGGAGACCTTCTAACAGCTGCCCTCCTATTCCAGATAATCTCTCCTCTATTGCTGTTTGGCATTGAAGTTCTTCGCATTTCAGGTCTTTCTAAATATGAGCAAAGGGGTGAGAAGGCAGAAGACAACAATGGTGGGAATGGTGTCAGTATTGGGATGCAGTAGGGAGGGAAGAATGTTGAACAGCTAAAGCTCTTTTTCCCTTCCAGCACACAGTGTTTTAGGAGATGCTTTACATCACTGGTAGTTCTTGACAGGAGCGTCCGGATTGAATCAGATATAACCCTGTCCATCTGGGCTTTTCTTCATGCATGTCCCCAAAATATCACTACACACATCTGACTTGCCTCCAGGGTGCCAGGATTTGGTATGGATATGCTTTGTTCCTGCTTTTTGCTCTGGGATGTGATGAGGGAAGGTCAGGAAGAACATGAAACACAGGAGGGGGGTAAGAAGAGAAGAGAACAGTGAGTGTTAGAGGAGACGCAAGGAATTCTTTCTAAATGGCAGAATTTTGCGGTTACAAAAGCAAAATATCTTTGTTTGCATTGGCTTCGAAAACAAAATATGTGTGAATGTTTGTCATTTATTCTTGATTTGGTGTCTAGTGGTAGCACTGGCTCTGTGAAAAGCTGGGAGCAGTGTTCCTGCTCCTGGTATGTGAAGATGAACTTGTGGTCGAGGGACAGGCCAAGGAATTTTGCTCCTCTGCCAGGCCCTGAAGCAGACTGGCTGCCTCAGACACACAGCACGGCAGCAAGCATCCCTGTGTCTCAAAATGTTTAACCATCTGGGGGCATCTGTCTCCAAAGAGAGTGAAGACAGGGAAGGGGCAACTTGCTCCTGCCAGTTTGGAAAATGTTGAGTAGTGGATTAAAAAAATAATTTTTCTGGTGGGTTGGACCCTTTAATGATGAGGATTCAGTGCACCTTTGGATCAAAATCTTAACCAGCATATATTCTGACTTTGGTCATCATTAAATTTAAGAGAAGACCCTCTCCCTGCTCTCTTTGTGAAGGTCAGAGCCTAAGCTCAGTCAAACACATCAGATATCTAATTCTCCTAGACTCACCCATCATTTCCTAGACCTCAACAAGGCTTTCCTGGCCACATCCTGGCGCTCCAAAGCTGAAGGGATCTGATAGGGATTCTGATAGATACTGTATTGTACTTCATGTATGTATTGATGTGTAGTCTTTTGTCATGTTAATGCTTGCAAAGGTTTTGTGGCTCTTGGCAATAAAAATGATTTGGGGATCAGGTGATCACACGCATTGCATATATCAGTTTGCTGAGCAGGGAACAGATTTAAGCCCACATTTAAGGGAATTCTAGGCTTAAATGCATTCTGAAGGCATCCCAGCTTGTTGGTTTTATGCAGTTCTGCTATAACAGCATCTGCTGGGATATTATTCTCTGCATTACTCAGGCCAAAACTTAGGATATCTCTGTATCTGCAGAGTAATACATGATGGTATTTTTGTTTTGATTTCTGTTTCAATTCCTCAGTCCTTACACAAGCTGTTACATGAGGGCTGCAAGCTGCAGGCTGCCTACCTTCCTCTCTTGCTAAAAGCACCACTCATATCGCAGGTAAAGCTTTCCCTCTGTATTCTCTTGCTTTATTCCATGTCAGCAGCTGGCTTAATTTTGAAAGGTTTGATCTGCAGAGGGGTGAAAGCACACAGCCACACAGCCAGGGAGATTTCTGAGCATGGCAAGACAAAGCGATCTTTTCTCTCTGTATGCCTTCCTTGGATTTATTGTCTGCGTCAGCCAGGCTCCTTGTTCCAGCTGCAAGTTTTTATTATTTCAAGAATAATTGTTTGGCTAACAGAGACCTCTCCCTGCAGACCAAGGGAAGGATCAACCCAAATTGATATTGCAGATGGAAGTTTGCTTGGAACAGCTCACAATACCAAAGTGAAAGCAAAGGGGTTTTAACAGAAGAATCTGCCTTTTTTTTTTTCCCTCTGGTTGGTCTTTCTCCCCCCTCTCTCCCCCCTCTACCACTTTGAAAAAAAAAAAAAAAAAATAAAAATATAAGTGCAGAACTATGTAACTGGAAGAAAAGCAGCATAAAGACAGACTATCAGGTTCCCTAAAGTGCAGATTCAAATGCAGTGGCTTATGGTATATGTGGGTCAGGTCCTTTGGAAGAAATAGAGAAGATACACAAAAGAGGTACCTACAGCATCCATTTACCCATCCACTCATGGGTTGTTGTGAGTCCTGAAATGGCTGATTGGCTCCTCAC